TACCCACTCGGGGACTGTTATCTTAGGCAAGCCTAGATAACTCGGGAAAGCGAGCTCACTGGCCTACACCGGAACTAAAAGGCTACAACTAATTTAACACGGCTCAGAGACGTCCAAAATCCATAACAAAAAATAGGCCTTCAAAAAAGAAAAAATTCTTTCACAACCGATTCTGAAGGCTACCCTCGACAGAATCTTAAACTTAAGATATTTTCGGGAACAAACTTCGGTAACACGAAACCCCGATAACGCCTTAAGCCAGAACGACAATAAAGGCAAGGGTTGTTCGAACCCTCGAACATGGCCTTATTATTTCATGCTAAGGCATTCCAACCTTTATGAATACAAGCAATAAAATAAAGGAAAAATTTTAGAGCCGAAAAGGGTAGAAAGTCTTATATATATAAACAATCTTTTTACAAGGGCCAGATCGGCCAAATACAAAAATTCCGATGGCCAAAATGGCCTCGAGAAAGACACAAAAGAAAGAAAAAATACAAAGGCCTAAGGGCTACTTTTACTTTGAGTTCGAGAGATCATTCTCACTCGACTAGAAAGCCTAAGGGCTACCTTATTTCGAGTTCGAGTAGGTCCTCACTCGATCAAGGGCTACCTCAGCTCAAGTTCGAATGATCATTCGGGGTCCATCGATCAAAAATGGTCGAGGGCAGTACTTATTATCGGTCCTTACCATCTCAAACCTTGGACCTTCGAAACAACTTCATAATTTTATGCTAAGGCCTTTTGACTCTTACGTAAATTAACAAAAGGACAACAGATTCAGAAGTCATGGAAGGAAAAAAGTTTTATATATTCATCAAAACCTATTTACAAGGGCAAGATGGCCCAATGGAAGTTCTTCACAAAAGGCCAAAGCGGCCTCGACAGAAATACAAAAACTATTTAAAAGCCTACGTGGCCTGGTCATCTCGGGGAGTGGCATCTCCGCCCTCGAGGTCCTCTGCACTTTCGGATTTGCTCGAGCTTTCGGATTCTTCATCATCATTGGGATAGGCTAATTTCCCAGATTCAGCTTCAAGCTTCTTCGCGTTCTCAATCTCGGTTGAAAGATATAAGCCTCAAGCATGGATTACCTCAAGGGTCTCCCTTCGAGATTGGCATTTGGCGTGCTCGGAGATCCTCTCTACTCGAATCTGATCGGCCTCGGCAACCTCCTTTGCTCGGACCTGGGCAGCTTCTGCATCAGCCCGGTAGATAGCCACCACTGCATCAGCATTGGCTTAGGTCGCTCAAGCCTCCGATTTGGCCGCTTTGAGCTCTGTGACCAGCTTCTCCCAATAGAAAATTGCAGAACCCAACTGAGACTGGTACTCTTCGATTTTCTTGGCTTGCACCAAGGTTTTTTCATTTATATTTTGGAGTTGAACTTCAGTCGAGGACAGCTGGGCTCGGGTAGTCTCCTTTTCTGAGGCCAAGCAATCCACGTTCTTTTTCCATTCTTCGGCCTCGGTCTTTACAATTTCTACCTCTTCACTGAGCTGCCCGATTATGTCAATCTTTTGTTGGACCTACGGGCTCAGATCGCTAGTCACTGTGCCCGATTCGTCTTCAGTAGCTTCAAAGATTCTATTTATCTGCTCGACCAGATCGGCATGCTCTTTTTGGGCCACCTCTAAATTAGCTCGAAGGTTCTTAAACTCAACTTCTCTTTGCTCACTAAGGAGTTTGAAGGCATCCTTCTTCTTGGTGAGCCCCCGGATCTCGGCCTCATACCGACTCAACTCTTATCGGGATCGGAGGAAGGCCTCATCATGAAGCATCGAAGCCTACAAAACACGGAAAAGGAAATTACATAAAAAAGCACATGCGCAGAACTTGAAATTGTCAAAGATATCTAAGGGTACCCGATTCAACGCCTGTTGAGCTCATTGAACAGGCATGGCATCTCAACTTCGTCCATCTTAGCCTAGTCCTCTTCGGTTATCAAACACCGAAGGTAGCTAGCCACTCCTACGGGGGCAGAAAGAACTCGAGCATCTTCCGAGATCGAGATAATAATTGATCTCTTATGCCCGGGATCAACACTTGGAACCAGAAATTGACTGGTCAGTTTAAGGCTCGAGGAAGCCTCGCTCGAGCTCTTCCTCGGTACTTCCAAATCACCCAGGCCGGTGACATCCTCCACTCCGACGGAGTAACACGGAAAGGGTCCTTTGCTTCATGGACCCCTTCACCATGGCTAGTCTCCACTGCCTGAGCTTCCTTAATCATTGACTCAGTAAACAAAGGAAACGAAGGGGAATCCTCGATATTTATCACCCCAAGTGAATCTTTTGAGGCGCCTTCATCTCGGGAAGCCTCGGGCCTGGTTTCTACACCAGCCTCAATCGCCTCCTCGATAGCCTTCTTACCTCGAGGTGAAGCGTCTTCAGCTCTTTCTGGCTCGGGGACTTCGGCCAAGGCTTCCCCCTCAATCTCATCAATTCGAGGCAGAGCAGTTTCAACTCCTACCGGCTTAGTAGTTCCTCAAATCTCGGTGCCAGCTCGCACACGGGCCACCAACCCGGAGTCTTCTTCTTCTTCTTCCTCGGCCTCATCCCTTAGCCGTTGGACTAACTCCATAGATAAAGGGATGATTTTCCCCTTGGGGTTACAGGCTGCTTTCTTTTTGGGTTTCTGCCCCTCAGAGTCCGTGGAATTCAAAGCCCTTTTCCTCTTTTTCTCCGGCTTCGGAATAGATGGTTGAACTTCTTCATCACCAAAAGGGGGCCTCATCATCATATCCTTCCCGAGACCTACAAAAGAAGAGAAATGAGTAAGCTTGAGAAAATATTGAAACAGTGGTGAAATCATTAAGTCAGGAAGAAAAATTTACCATGACTACTAGCCTCCCATCGACCCTTCGCCAAATCACGCCATGCGCGCTCAGCATGTGTCGACTGCGATATTAGGCTCTTGACCCAGTCCTCGAGTTTGGGAATCGCACCCAGAATCCAAGCAACGGCTACATCAAGTAAAACACTGATAAGAAAGGGTGAAAAAACGAAGACAATAAAAAGAAATTAAGGATAGAATTATACTTAAGTTTCATATTCCATTTCATAAGAAATCACATACTCTCGGCGGGGATCAAGCTGAGGTCTTTACTCGAACAAATTGGCCCATCCAGCCCCGATCTTTATCTTCATCTATGCTCGAGAAAGGTGCCCTGGTGGCTTGACGTTGAAGCTTTATTAGTCCTCCTCGATAGAGCCGGGGGCTATATAGGCATATGAGGTGGTCGAGGGTGAAGCGAAGCCCATCGACTTTGCTTGCGAAGAAACGAAGTAGTATCACTATCCTCCAGAAAGAGGGATGAATTTGATCGAGGGTCACCTCGTATTTCTTGCAGAAATCTATGATGATCGGATCCAAGGGACCCAATGTGAAGGGGTAAGTGTAAACACTTAAGAACCCTTCCACGTGGGTGGTGATTGATTCTTCTAGACCAAGAACCACCACATGTTTTTTTGCCCCAGTTGCAATCTTTTTTAACCTGGGAGAGGAGTTTTTCGGTTATCAAGCATATATACCTTGATATTGGCTCGGATTGGCCCAGCATCGAGGAAGTCTTCTCAACCTTGAAATCAGAATCGAGGACACACCCTCCGGGAAAATACTCTTCAAGGCGTTGCTCCGCCACCGGTTCCTCACCGACCGACCGTGATGATGAAGCAGTCTCCTTTTGTGGAATGGTTTTTGAAGTCTTAGCCATTTTTTACTTTTATGAGTGAAGAAGAATGGAACTGAGGAGGAGCGCTTGGTATTTTGTGATGAAATAAGTGAAGAAACTTAGAGATATGAAAATATAAAGCTTTGAGGAAAGCAAAGGATTTTGAAGATTAAAGTGAAGAAGATTTGAAAGTAAAGCTTGGGCAAAAGAAGAAAGATACATTTATAGGTTTAAGATGATGGTTCAAATCCGGTAGTGGCCGACCATCGACTGGCACACATTAAATGCCTGGGAAATTGTACCGACAAGATGTTTCGGTTACTTTTGTTGCTTATGTCATGGTGAAGATCGAGGGCTCAAATCGTTTCTTGTCATTACTCTCCAAAAAATAAGGGGACTATCTGTATATAGTCAAAATCGGGCTTGCCCTTTTTGTATGATTAATTGACACCGGGGCATGGTGGGTTAGGGTTCGACCCCATGACAGACCGGACTGTGACACGAAGTTAGGTTGTCGAGCTCGAGACCCAAAGATCGATTAAAATCGAGACCGACCAAAACTAAGACAGACCAAGATTGAGATCGGCCAAGATCGAGACCGAATAAGATGGAGATCGAGGGAAGCTTACCGGGTCGAATAACGGAAAGACGAAATATCTGCAATCAAGCGAGGATCACGGTGCAAATCCCGGCACGTATCAAGAAGAGACCAATTAATTAGTCAATTATGGGATTTCTTACTGTATTTAGAATTGTACCAAGAGTAGGACTCCCCTACTATATAAAGGAGGTCTGATCATTTGTAAAAGACATCATATTCACATTACATAAAGCAATATACCATCTTCTTCTTAAGCTCTCAATACTCTGTTATTCTGTTCATACTTTCCAGTAAAATACTTGTTTGATTCGAAGGCAACCTAGCTCGAGGATCAGCTGTACATCTCTTTTGGTTTGCTTTATTTCTACTTACAGTTAATTTCAATAACAATATTGTATTTTTCTCGTTTGTGCCAAGTAAAATCACGTGTCCTTAAAACCACAATATAAATTCAATTGTTATCCGTTTTTAGGTAAACAAGCCTCTAGCTAGACCGTTTCATTTTTCTCGTGTCACAATAACCGTGTCTGCATCTCAAGATAGTATAATAGTTTCGTATATTAATTAGAGCAACGGAAAGCACATGGAAGAATCTTCAATTAGTAACCTAATTAAATGAAAAACATGAATGAGAAGTCTTCAAAATTTCTTATATACAACATATAGTTTATTTATTTATAGATAGCAATATAAAGTAATAATCCCAAATAAGCTTGATGAAGAACATAAAAGAAGAAACACACCTAGACTATAGATTCAAGAATGACAAATTTACATGTAAAACAAAAATTAAGTACTTCATTTTTCTAACACTTATTTTCTTTCTTTTTTTTTCTTTTTTCTCTTTTGTTTTTTGTAGTAACCCCACATGGTGGCTCAATTGATTCTCCACCATGAAAAAAAAAATCATATAACCCCAGTAGTCATGCATGCATGCATCCAAGAAAATCATCAAAAACCCCTATACACTTGAAAATTATTGAATTATTCATCTTGAATTATGCATGTCAGTTTCATCACTTACAGCAACAGAAGAGAAGAAATCACCATCTCCTGCAGCACCTTTTTCTTTTACTTCCTCAATTTTCTCCACAGCCTCTTTTATATCCCATCTTTTCTCCACATCAGCCTCACAACAACTTAAACCAACCTTCAATAGTTTCATCATTTCACCCTCACAATCTTGTGTTCCTTTCATTTCCTTATCAAACACCTCTTCTTTTGATGAATCCTCTCCAAGTACAGAGTTCACCCAAGTCGCCAAATCATCGGTATCATGACTCCCTTTGCCTAAAAGATTTGAAGGAAATTTTCCAGTCAAGATTTCTAGGATCAACATACCAAGTGTCCAAACATCAGTTTTCCTGTTGATTTTGCCAGATAGCTTGTACTCTGGTGCTTTGTATGAGATCATGTGTTCTTGAGCATGTTCGATATTTACGACTGGTAGTAAGGCGTAATCTGTGAGAACTGGCTCAAAGGTTTCAGTTAGAAGGACATTTGAGGACTTGAGATGACCATGAGGTGCAGTTATGCTTGGTAGCTCATTGTAGAGGTATAAAATTCCTTTGGCTACTCCTTTTACAATTTTCAAGCGAGTTGGCCAATCCAAGCTTTGGTTCCCACGTGATTTACTATTGCCTGAACAATCACAATCAATGCACAACTAGGCATTAATTATCATATAAAGAATCATACACACAACATGAATATACACTGATAGTATAAAAAGTATTTTACTACGTTAAAGAATAAATCGCAAAAAATAGGAGTGTTTACTAACCTAAAAACAAGACATGTTACTTGCTAAAACAAGTAAAAATATACTTTTAGCATAATATTTCCTCTATTCCACTTTATATGACTTAGTTTAGAGTACAAAGATCAAGCTGACTAATTTTTGGTCTGAATACGGACATAGGATTTTCAAATTTTTGAAATAAAATTAACAGATTTAGAAACTATATAAGAAATATTGTAACGTCACAATAGTTAACAATTCAAAATGTTTAAAAAATATTTGCGAAAAAATATGATCAAAGAAAACCTTGTTTGACTCTCCAAGTTGTAATTAATAAGTTCAAATAAACTGAAACGGAAAGAGTAATATAGATTAGAAGAGAGTATAGAGTAAGATACCATGAAGATAAACGGCAAGGCTGACATTGTTGACGTATTCAAAGACCAAAAGCTTCTCCTCCTTCCTATAATAGAAAGCTAGAACAGGAAGCAAGTTCTTATGGCTCAATCTACCAAGTCTTCTCATATGCTCATGGAAATCTTCCTTGCCAACTTTGTTCATATGTCTAAACCTCTTAACAACCATAACAGGACCAGTGCTAAGTGCAGCTTTATAAGTTGAACCAAACACACCACTGCCCAATACTTCAGCTGAGGCCTTTAATAAATCTGGCAAGTCAAATTTCTCAATGTCATCTTTCAAGAACAAAAGCTTTTGTCCTTGTTCAGCTCTTTTTCCATCATTAGAACGATCAGGAGATGCAGCAACTTGGCCTTGTTCCAATTTGTTTAGGTCAGCTGATGTGAGTTTTGGCTCATGAGTTGTTGGTGATATATTTGATGATCCTAGAGTAACTTCCTGTTGGGAATTATTTTTCTTGCGACGAGTTATGAGTACAACGGCAATTAGACCTATAACAGCAACAACCACCACGACGATAAGGGCAATCTTCCAACCAGAAGATGATGATGATGATTCTTGCTTTTTTGGTGCCTCTTCATTGCATGATTTTGTTAAAGGTGGACCGCAAAGACCATCATTTCCTGTTTAAAAGGAAGCAAGAAAATTTAGTGAAAAAGAAAAGGAAAGAAATTTATGCGTTATTTATCTATTTCTAGTTTTTTATGTTAATGTCGTTGACGATAGATAACTCTCCTCAATTATTCCTGCTATAGGACGTTCTCATATTATATCTTATTTATTTGATCTTCTTGTAAATTTTCAAGAATGATTTTTTGGTGAAGAAAGTCAAAGGGTATGATGATCTTGGATCGTAAGACAACATAGATTCGCATGTTACATCTTTAGTTAACACATCATAATCATAAACAATACTATGATTTATTTTATTAGCTCGTATTTAAAAAAAAAATCTGTAATGTTAATAGGAAATGAAGCGACTAAATCTAGCAAAACGAATTTCTAAAGAAAATGTATTGATTTCTAATCTTTCATGCGTTGCATGCATGTTTGCACAACAACAACTAAAAAAAAAAAAATATATGCATCACAAGATGAAGGCTACAAATAATTTAATTCATAACTTATTATGATCATTTTTCAAATACTACAACAACCCATTGAATTAAAAAAAATACCTTAATAAAGAAATATGCACACAATTACAAATGTAAGATTAAGAACTTAAAATAATAAAGAGATCCCTTACCTTGAAAAGCAGAAAAATATAGACGAGAAAGGGAAGAAGGAATTGGACCCTCAAACTTATTATTTTGTACATTTAACTCCACGAGCTTTGGCAATTCACCGAATATGGGAGGGAGTTGTCCTGTAAATTGATTATTTGCTAGGTGTAGCTTCTTTAACGAATTCATCCCTTCAAAAGTCTTGCCATCAATTGGCCCAGAAAATTTATTGTTTGAAAAATAAGCACTTTTTAATGCAGGTAGCTTATTCAAAGGTGGCAAAGACCCTTCAAAATTATTACTCAATACACTTATGGTTCTCAAATTAGGCAACTCTTTTAACGTGTCAACATCAAGGGTACCACTTAAACCAAGATTTTCAAGATTCAAACCATAAACCATACCACCTTCACAAAAAAGACTATTCCAATTTGGCTTATTGTTCCCTTTGACACAAGGTGGTACATTGGCATTCCATGTTGAAAAGGGATTGCCATCATATTTTAAAGATTGACTAAACTTGAGCAGAATCTCAGCTTCTGATAATTTCCCGTCTGATGGGGTGGTTACAAATGCTAGTAAAAACGCGATAACGAAGAGGAAGGGGAGATGTTTATAGTTTTGGTTGTTTTTGTTTTTGATTTTGTAGTTTTTTTGTGTAGTTTGTGCCATTTTTGCATAGAGAATTTATAGTTGGCTTAATTAATTTTGTTACTGGTGCGCGCACTTGCAGGTGCGCGCCCTCTCAAAGGGCTCCTACAAATGAAAGAATGCTACCTTTATGGAGTTTTGAGGCCAAAAGAAAAGGTGGAAGGAGAATGGAATAGAATGTTTTGTGTACATGCAGGGGAAAACACAAGAGAAAGAAGTTTGAGAGGTAGTTGGAAAAATGGACAAATGTGAAGTGGAGAATGTTAAGTTGATAGAGTCCTCTATTTCTTGCTAATTCCCTCAGAAAACTACGCTTTACCCTTTGAATTTTCTTTGAATTTCGACCATCTTTAACAGCAGTCAATCATCCCCCGAGGTTGTAGTTGGTTTCAGAACTTCCACATATTTTATTTTCAGCATTTAAATGTTTATAGCTTCATAGGAAGAAAAAAATTATACGTCTTACAACAGAAAAAGAAACTACAAGTATATGTAATACTAGAATTGGTTGTGTGACCTATCTACGCGAATCTGACTAGGCTTACTCCACGTAAGTTAATTACTAAGTTGGATTGGCAGTGTTGGGAAGGAAGTAATAATTATTATTATTTTTTTTTAAAAAGGTAAAGTATTCTGTCACGACCCGAATCCCCACCATCGGGACCGTCATGGCGCTTAACATCACACTTGCTAGGCAAGCCAACGTTAGAGATTTATTAGCCAGTTCCTTTACGTTTCAGTGATTTACAACAAGCAAGCTAAAACAAGTCGAAATGAACGCGGAAGTACATAAATAGCAACTTTAATTATATACTATTACTACGCATAATCCGGAGTCACAATTCACGAACATTCTAAGATTTTACTACAAGTATTTATCCGAAAGAAAATACAATTGTCTGCGAAATAAGGAAAACATTAAAGTATGACATATAGAAGGGGACGCCAGGGCTTGCGGACGCCGACAGGTCTACCTTGGGTCTCCTAGCTGATGAATCCTATAGCCAACCTCTCGATCAGCTCGAACCAACTCCAAAATCTGCACAGGAAGTGCAGAGTGCAGTATCAGTACAACCGACCCCATGTACTGGTAAGTGCTGAGCATAACCTCGACGAAGGAGTGACGAGGCTACGGTGGGGCAATCACAATATAACCTGCATACAGTGTATAATAAAAACAGAAAGAAAGACATGATAAAATAGAGTAGTAACTTGCAAGAAGTGAATACAATCCTCGAAGCATATCATTAGTGTTCAGCTATTACAAATCCTCAAGTGCAATTTAAGGCTACCGTTCAGCTAACACAGTCAAGGAGAATATAAATATATAGGTTGTAGCGTCATGCAACCCGATCCCACCGTACATCTCATATTCCTTCCTTATTTCCTCTTATTAACATAAATAACAGAATATAGATAAGAGTGTTGCGGCGTGCAATCCGATCCCACCATATCACAATAATCACAATCACAGTTCACCCTTATTTCACCACACTTCACCCTTATTAGATCTGTTGCGGCGTACAACCCGATCCCACCGTACATATCATTTCACCCTTATTCCTACTCAATATATCACCCTTATTCCACCTGTTGCAGCGTGCAACCCGATCCCACCATATCAGTATCAGTTATTCAGCAAGTACATAAACTTCACAATTCAAATTACATAACCCTTCACAAGGCTTAACTTCAAACTAAAACAAATAGGAAGCTTATACACTATGAGACTTTACGCAAGTAATACTACTCAGCGAGACCAATCCAGAATATATCATGAAAGCACCGATAACCAGCCTAAGCAAATAATAGGAGGCAACGAAACTACGAAATAACTAATACCTTCAACAAAGAGAAACAATATCTATCAGGTAAATTAAGCATAGAAATACAAGTAGATCATGTAGCAGTTATGACAGAGAAAAAGACAATATGAGGGGAACGGGAAATAAACAGGCAAAAACAAATAAATTGGCGGTGCATACGTACTCGTCACTTCACCTATGCGACACTCACATAGATTTCATATAGCAAATAAGTCAAGGGATCCTAATCCCTCAAGTCAAAGTTAGACACGATACTTACCTCGCTCTACGGCCCACTCAATGCTCAATTACCGGTTTTCCTCTAGTATCCACCTCCAAGCCACTCGTATAGAGTCAAAATTAACTCAATGACATCAATTATTGCTAAAGGAATCAACTACAATGCATAAATTTAGATTTCCCAAACTACCCCCCCTCCCCTCCGCTTGGTCAAAACTCGAGGTTCGGACCAAAATCCATTTACCCATCACCACCGAGCCCGTATATATAATTGGTTTTGGAATTCGACCTCAGTTCGAGGTCTAAATCCCCAATTTTCCAAATCCCTAGTTTCTACCCAAAAGTCCCCCAATTCTACCATGAACACTCTAGATTTTAGGTTGAAAATTCATGAAATACAATGGGTAATTGAAAGAAAGTGGTTTAGAATCACTTACCAATACTTTGGGGAAGAAATTAGTTTGGGAGAATCGCCTCTAGGCCGTCTAGCTTTTGAAAATTTGAAAGAATGTTTTAAGTCCCGTTTTGGGACTTTTTTAAGAACTTGGCGACAGTGTTCATCGCGTTCGCGAGGACATTGTCGCGTTCGTGAAGAGCTACGCCTGCTAGGCTTTCGCAATAGCGAAACCCTCATCGCGTTCGCGAAGGCTATGCCCTCTGGCCTTCGCGTTCGTGAGCCCGTGCTCGAATTCGCGTAGAAGGAACGACTGATCCCTCCCCCAGGTCCCAAATGCTTCGCATTTACGCTAAGCCGGTCATGTTCGCGACCAAGCCTTCACGTTCGCGAAGAGGAAAAACTCACACTGACCAGCTTACCATCGCGTTCGTGAGAGTGCCTTCGCGAACGCAAAGGACACACCAGAACAACTGCTCCAGCAAAAATACCAGATTTTCTAAGTTCAAAGCATCTCGTAGCCTATCCAAAACTCAGCCGAGCCCTCGGGGCTCCAAACCGAATATGCACACAAGTCCTAAAACATCATACGAACTTGCTAGCGCGATCAAGTTGCCTAAATAACACCTAGAACTACGAATTGAATACCAAATCGAATGAAATTTTCAAGAAAGCTTTATAACTTCTAACTTCACAACCGAACGTCCGAATCACGTCAACCAATTCTGTTTCTCACCAAATTTCACAGATAAGTTATAAATATTATATTGGGCCTATACCGGGCTCCGTAACCAAAATACGAACCCGGTATCAACAAGGCCAAACATCAATCAATTCTTTAAAGCCATTAGATTTTCATACTTTCAATTTTTAATAATAATTCATATCTCGAGCTTGGGACCTCGGAATTCAATTCCGGGCATATGCCCAAGTCCCACATTTTATTACAGATCCACCGGACAGTCAAAATACGGGTCCGGGTTGGTTTACTCAAAACGTTGACCGAAGTCAACTAAAATTAACTTTTAAGGCAAAAATTCTTATTTTCATCAACTTTCAACATAAAAGCTTTCTGGAAACATGCCTGGACTGCGCACGTAAATCGAGGAGGGTAAAAATAAGATTTTTAAGGCTCAAGAGCGCAGAATCGAGTTCTAAAACATAAGATGACCTTTTGGGTCATCGCATTCTCCACCTCTAAAACAGCCGTTCGTCCTCTAACAGACATAGAAAAGTACCTGAGCTGGTGAAAAGGTGGGGATATCTACTCCGCATGTCCGACTCGGACTCACAAGTACCTACCTCGACGGGCTGACCTCTCCACTGCACTCGAATTGAAGGATAACTCTTCGACCTCAACTGACGAACCTGCCGGTTTAAAATAGCTACCGACTCCTCCTCGTAGGTCAAATCCTTGTCCAACCAGACAGTGTTGAAATTTAATACGTGGAATGGATCACCGTGACACTTCCAGAGCATGGACACATGGAACACCGGATGGACTGCTGATAAACCAGGTGGCAACGCAAGTCTGTAGGACACCTCTCCCACTCGCTCAAGGATCTCAAAAGGCCCGATATACCTAGGGCTCAACTTTCCCTTCTTTCCAAACCTCATTAAACCCTTCATGGGTTACACACGGAGCAACACTCTTTCCCAGACCATGAATGCAACATCACGGACCTTACGGTCGACATAACTCTTCTGCTTGGACTGAGCTGTATATCCTGAATGATATTAACCTTATCCAAGGCATCCTGTACCAAATCTGTACCCAGCAACCGAGCCTTCCCCGGCTCAAACCATCCAACCGATGATCGACACCGTCTACCATATAATGCCTGATAAGGAACCATCTAGATGCTCGACTTGTAGCTGTTGTTGTAGGCGAACTCTGCAAGGGGCAAGAACTGATCCCACAATCCCCCAAAGTCTATAACACATGCTCGGAGCATATCCTCCAAGATCTGAATAGTACGCTCAGACTGTCTGTCCGTCTGAGGATGAAATGCTATGCTCAACTCAACCCGTGTACCCAACTCACGATGTACCGCCCTCTAGCAATGCAAAGTAAACTACGTACCTCGATCAGAAATGATAGACACAGGCACACCGTAAAGACGAGCGATCTTGCGGATATAAATCTCTACCAACCGCTCTGAAGAATAGGTAACTGCCACAGGAATGAAATGCACTGACTTGGTCAGTCTATCCACATTAACCCAAACGGCATCGGACTTCCTCTGAGTCTGTGGGAGTCCAACAACGAAATCCATGGTGATACGCTCCCACTTCCACTCAGGAATCTCTATCTTCTGAAGAAAACCATCAGGCCTCTGATGCTCGTACTTTACTTGATAACAATTTAGACACCGAGCTACATATGCAACTATATCCTTCATCATCCTCCTCCACCAATAATGCTTCCGCAAGTCCTGATACATCTTGGCGGCGCCCGGATGAATAGAATATGGGAACTGTGGGCCTCCTCTAGAATCAAGTCACGAAGTCCATCTACATTAGGCACATAAACATGACCCTGCATCCTCAAAACTCCATCATCTCCAACCGTAACCTACTTGGCATCATCGTGCCGCACTGTGTTCATAAGGACAATCAAATGAGGGCCATCATGCCGCCGCTCCCTGATGTGCTCAAACAAAGAAGACCGAGACTGTACAAGCTAAGACACGACTGGGCTCAGAAACATCCAACCTCACGAACTGATTGGCTAAG